TATATACATTAACATATGTTAAATGTTCAATAAATGATAAAAAGATGATTTAACCTAGTTTTTATTATAGTAAAATCTACGTTTTTACTAATTCAGAATTTGTGGTAACTCTTCTTAGATTCATTTGAGATTTATCTTTACATTTTCTATTAACAAATTGTGGTGTTTTTTTTTTTTTGGCAACTAACTTTTAAGTTGGAATAAGAGAAAAGAAAGTATAATCTCTTTAAGAAAACTATTTTCAGTCAATTTTTACTGAATCTATACGGAGTGTAAATAAAAAGCTGATTTCTAGCTGAAAACACCACCTAAGATTTTGATTATTTTTTGTTGTTGTAATTATATGTTACTAAAGTAATAAAATTACATTTCCTTTAAATTGGTGAATTCTTCAGATTTGGACTGATTTTGGACTAGCTTTTGCAACTAGTTCTGCATTAAAGAACAATTGCAGTAATGTTAAGAGAAATCATATAGATATAGGTATTAAATGGAATGTTGCAAGATGTAGTCTTTATAAACCTCTGACATTCTAAGAATCTTTGGTTCCTGATGGAAGACACTAATAAGAGCCTTTAGTCAGGCTAATAGCTAAATCGTGTTCTGTTGGAAAGACACATTAGAAACACATTAATTATTTCAGGCAACTGGAGTACCATTTTTTCACTGCAACATTTAGGAGATCTTAAAAAAGGGAAATGGACACAATGGACTAGGAACTAAGCCCTGTAGTGGTCTGGAGGGCCTAGTGACTGCTGTGAGTGTTCGGTATTCATAGAAATTTGGTGCTTTCTCCCCATTAAGTGAGTGTGTTGCTTTCACTGAGCAATCAAAGCAGTGGGGGATATGGAATTGACTTTTGTGTGTTGTGTGATATGAGGGCTTCACATTTTGGGCAATTCTCCCTTACATGTAATGACTGGTATTTGCCAAGTAGTTGGTCAGAAATATAGTTTAGTTTCTGGCCATGGACCTATGATCCTGAGCTCACTACCAGGGAATCTATATTCATTTTCTAAAGGACCCTAGCTCTCTCTCAGTGACACTTAAAGAAGTTAACTTTGTTAAGGAAAAAGGACTTGATGACAATAACGATCCATTTGGCATTTTAAAAGACCCAGGGCTCCTCCCACTCTTCCTTGGAGAAATTACCTAACTGCTAATTTGCTATGCAGAAAAGCCTTCCAAACTGCCTGCTGCCAGATTAGCTTTATCAGGGTACACATCAAACTTGCTTTGAGTTGTGGGCTTATCATGTGGAAAATGATGCAAACAGAAGGTTACTGAATGAAAACAAGTATACAGATGCCCACTTACCATCAAGATGTTAGAATTAACTAAAAGAGCATATTAATAAGTTGGTCTTTTTTTCTCAAATTGCCAAGCAGGTGGGAGGTTTGAATTGGTATCTTTTGTGAGCTCTTGGTTTGAAATGAAGAGAGTGTGAGTTTCCCTCCACCCCCGATTATCTTCTGTTCATTTTAATTTGAAGTTCTCAAAGATATTTCAAAGTGAGATGCTGTTCTTTCCCTTCCTCTTTCAAAGTTTAATCAATTAGCGTTTGACATGTGTATGAAATGATAAGCATTAGCTAGCATAATAAGGAAGCAGGAAAGCAATTTGTCTTTTCCAGCTATATATTTAAAAAATTAATCACTGCTTATAAATCCTTCCCAACTCCTTTTTTCCCCCACTAACAAATGAGATTGTATTCTGAAATTATTAAAAAGTAATTGCAGTATAAACAGAAAATGATGAATAGGGAGGGTTGACTGAATTGATTCTATTTAGCGCTTGACCTTCTGTTTTCATCATTGCTAATTAAATAAGCTCAATTTAGGTTGGAAATAAGCTAATGTATGCAACATTGCTATGAAATCTTTAAGATGCTCTAAACTGGAGAGACCCTATATAGCAGAAAGATCCTCTCTACAGAGACTGGAGATCAAATCCTGATTCTGTCACTTTTTGTGTGGCCTTCGATAAACAGCTTATCTTTTATGAATCTCAATTTTCTCATTGTAGATAGCATGAATGTAACATTCTATAGGAAATGACTGTGAAGGTTATGGAACATCTTTGTATGATTTTCCATAAAATTAGAACTTCATCTTGATCTTCTGTTCTACATCTAATTTGGCTTGCAAAGGATTAACATTGACTTTCTGATGCCAAGATCAAGGACAGATAATAGTTACACTATAATGTAATTGTCAGTGGAAGATTGTAAACTTTGATGTGTAAGTGTGGCCAAATATGCAGTTTTTAATGCAGTTCTATCTTTGAAAACTCTATTTCTTTTGCCTCTGTGGGGTTATTCTTGCATAAATCTGAGTTCACTTGAGGGAAGTTTCCAAGGAGCAGCTGGGTTATTTCTGGGTTCAAGGTATTCAAAGCTCTGACTAAATCTTAACAACAGAATAATTTTCTTCCCCCAGATAGCAGTGTGATGGGAAAGGTGGTTGGACTATTTGGATGAATATATAAAAGCTTAAATTAAAATATGGGGAGAGAATACTTTCATACATTTGTTTTCTAGTTTACTTGTAACATGTTAGCCTTCCCTTGCTTCATAAAGAATCCTCTAAGATTAGATGAGCACAAAATCCAAGCAACCAACACTGCTGGTTCATTAATGTCACACTTCATCCATTCTTCCTGTGTGTTCAAACATCATACAACCCTAAAATAAAACAAAGAAAAACAAAACAAAAAACAAGCTAACCCCCAAGGTAAATAACAACAGCAACAAAAAACTACTACCAATACCACAACCTACTGCAACAAAAAGCCAGGTCCAAGCCATAACTAACAGCTGTTTAGAAGTAAGGTAGATTGTTAACATTACTGTGTTTCAATAGCATAAAGATTCCTTATGTAATAGAGTTTATATGTAATTAGGCAATGGCTAAAAGGATAGGAAGAGTAGAGATTCCAAATGTAAAAGATTTAAATTTCTAACACATTTCTGTAGTATGACTTTAATATACCACTGAAAGTTTTGAGTGTTCCAGTTCTCATTCCTTAACTAAAAATTGCATTTATTTGGAATCATTATTTAAAATTCCTACGTACCTTGATCAAACACATTTTGAAGAATATCTTTACATTATTATTACAACAACCCTATAAAAAAGGTACACCCTGACCATTGAAGAAATCTAGTTACAGAGAGTTTAAAAGTTGTATGCCCAAGGATTAAAGTTGTTTTAGTGGTAAGACCAGGTTTTGAAAAAAACTGATGTTCATTTCATTCCCAGTAACATCTACCTTGCCTACTGTATAGAATTATTTGTAAACATCAAATAAAATAATGTGTTTGAAAGTATTTTACAGAACTAAAATTCTGTTATGTATCTGCACATATGTTAAATGTATATGTGATCTCGCCCTTTTGGGGAGATTTCATGAGAAACTAAGCCACATGTAAACACGGTGGTATAATGGAAGGAACTTGACTTTTAGGATTAAATAGGGGTTTAAAAAAGGTCATGTAGGATGTTATTTTATACTTTATCACAGTTGAAAGAGATCCATGGCTTTGCCTTTGACATTTTCCTCATTCACAACATAGTTTATCACAGCTGATTCCTCTTCATGATTCATATCCCAGCCATGATTTCTAGCAATAGTTTCCTTGAATACCTAATTTAATATCCCATTTCCACTGTGGTACTGTTTACCATTTTCCCCCTTTAGCATTTTGACAATATTTATTATTACTTAGATTACTGACTTTTATTGTTGTTGTTTGCTTGTTTACTATCTTCTTTAGGGGAACCTTCTTTGGGGGCCAGTTTAGGCTGGCCACTAACTAGCCATGTGACGTAGCAACTTCTTAACTCTTCCAGACCTAAGAATTCTCATATTTGAAAATAAGAGCAAAACAGAGCTTCCACAGAGAGTTTTCACATACATTATTCTTAAAATAAGGAAGTGAGAAAATCAGACTAAAAGGGCACACAAATCTTTTTCAATTCTAAAGCTTGATGTATCTAAGTCTTTGATGTATAGCTTACATGTATTTAGTCGATAAGTAATCACATAGAAATATATACAAAAACATATTGGGATTTGGAATCCTTCTACATAATTTCTTTTCTCCTACTGGCTATTCATGCTATTTAAGATCCAAACATTCTGTGACTATTACGATTACAAATACACATTCTGTCTATTTGTTAGACAGTGAAAGTTTTTAAAGTTGATAAAATATGATATTTTTGCAAGTATTTTTACTTAGAATTTTAGTCAAGATCTTGCTTGGAATTATGGTCAATGCTCAACAATGATAGTCTCTGAAGAAATCTATTCTTTGGCTGCCTTTGTCATTGCATTTCACATTTATCATATTTAGAGTCTATTCAGATAGTAGTCATTCATTCCTCACTGTTTCATTCCATGAGAATCATTATTTGCATATGAATTTTTTTCTAAAATAGGAATTTAGGCTTGTGTAAGGATAACACTATGTTTAAAACTAATTAAATAAGATGAAGAACTTGAAATTTTTGGTGACGACCCTATTGAAATGATTGCTAAAGTGCATTTCATTATCGAATCAAAGAATCATGCCCTAGAAGAATAAAGAGACCAGAAAGGAAACTCAATGAATCTAATTTAATTCAATATATTTTTTTGTTTCCACTGCTAAATTATTTAGGATTTAGAATGTTATTAAATAGCCTTTGGAGTGAACTCTAAGTTTTTCTCCATTAGGTGGTTCCATAGTTTGTCTGAAAGAAGGTTTTGGAGGGGTTGGTTGAACTGAAAATTATGTTTCTATTTTCAGTGGTTTCCTAATTTAAAATTTTCACCTCTCCAAAAAATATTTTTGACCTGAGGGGCACAAAATTGGGTATTTACCCAAAGAACACAAAAATACTAATTTAAAGGAATACATGCACCCTAATGTTCATAGCAGCATTATGTACAACAGCCAAATTATGGAAACAACCCAAGTGTCCATTGATTGATGAATGGATAAAGAAAATGTAACAGTGCTCATTTTGGCCACACATATACTAAAATTGGAACAATACAGAGAAGATTAGCATGGCCCCTATGCAAGGATGACATATAAATTCATCAAGAATTCCATATTTTAAAAAAAGAAGATGTGGCATATATATACATAGTGGAACAACCTGGATGGTGCTAGAGAGTATCATGCTAAACAAAATAAGTCAGTTAGAGAATGACAAATACCGTGTGATTTCACTCATATGTGGAATTTAAGAAACAAAACAAGTGAACAAAGAGAAAAAAAAAAGAGAGTGGGAGGTAAACAAAGAACCAGACTCTTAACTATAAAGAACAAACTGATGGTTACCAGAGAGGAGATGGGTGGGTGGATGGGCTAAATAGGTAATGCGGATTAAGGAGTATACTTGCTGTGATGAGCTCTGGGTGTTGTATGGAATTGTTGAATCACTATTTGTACACCTGAAACCAATATTACACTCATTGTGAACTGGAATTTAAAAAAAACCCTTAAAAACGGTGATTATAATAAATAAATAGGGGCGCCTGGGTGGCTCATTCGGATGAGCATCCAACTCTTGACTTTTCAGGTCATGATCCCAGGGTCGTGAGATTGAGCCCCATGTCAGGCTCTGCACTGAGCAGGAAGCCTGCTTGAGATTCTTCTCTCTCTCTCTATCCCTCCATCTCTCCCCCCACCCCCACCCTGGCTTGTGCACACTCTCTCTCATTGTTTCTCTTTTTCTAAATCAATCAATCAATCAATCAATCAATCAATCAATAAAAATGATCTGTTAAGATTCTTGGTTGTAAGCAACAGAAATTGATTCTACTTCATCGGAATCAGGTAGAATTAAACTTATTTAATAGAATTTAATGGAATTCAACAGAGTTAACTAGAATTAAGCTTGTTCAAATCAATTGTTCTGCCTAAGAAAAATTTTTTTCAGAGTTTAAGCAGCAGAAAGAGAGGTGAAGAACCAAGCTTTAAAAGGATAGGAACTAGAGTAACTACAGCAGAAACACATAGTTTTTTGGGGGTCAGGGCATGAATCAACTCCAGTGTTTTCAAATGCATGACTGGTCTAGCACAAAATCACATACCATAAGATTGTAATGGACAGAAGAACAGTTTTCTCAAAGCAAAAGTTAGTTTTCTATTTCATAAAGAAAGGGAATGAATGTTGAGACCAATGGCAACACAAGTGAAGAATTATTTTCCTCACTTCGGACTCTTGGGCTAACTGAATTTAACATTGCAATCTTTGCAGTCACGTCTTTTGGTTGGAAGCCATGTATATGCTCTAAGTGCCGCCCTAAGGAGATTAGGACTGGAAACCCATTGCTTGACTAATCCTGTGCAACCTTAATTTTTCCTTCACAAGTGGAGTATTTTTTCTTGCCTTCCTTATCCAAAAAGCAAAGCCTTTAAAGATCCTTACATGTAACACAGGAATAACATGATTACATGTAACATAGAGTATTTGTAAGTCTCTGATAAGGTAATGAATGTAGAGTGACATTTTGTGCATCATAAATCACTGTATACAACTAAGGTACAGTTATTATTTTAATTATGTTTATATTGTTTAGGCTAAAGAAAGTGTAGAGTAGTAGTAGTTAAGAGTATGAACTCAAGAACTACAGGACTAAATTCAAATTTCAACTATACCACCTTGGGCAAGTGACTTGAATGTTAAGTGGCTCATTTCCCTTGTCTTTAAGTTGAGGATAATAGTAGTGCCTTTTTCAAAGTGATCATTTTTAGAGTTAAATGAATGCATATATGAAAAGCACTTAGAACAATGCCTGACACAAAATAAATGATATAAAATTATTTCTATTATTATTGTTGTTGTCTTTCTTGTGAAAGCTAATCTTTGAGTTCTACTTTTAACATTTATTTCAAGATTTATAAATACAACTATGCTACACTGCTATGCCTTATTTAGAAGTTTTCCTGAAATCATATTGTTGGGTGAATTATTTGTACCTCTGTTTCATGTTTTTACATCTGGATTATCTAGTCCTTTGGGGTTAGCTCATGTTGTCTACATTTTATTATTTCCCAAAGGCACTAATAATTCACTCTCACATGAATTAAAACCTCTCTTTCATTCTTTTTCACTTACATATTTGTTTCTCTTAATCATCTTGTAGTGTTTATTTTGAAAGAAGGGCATCAAAAGCTATTGGATTATACTGAAAATATTTTTAGTATCAGTTCCCAGTTTAGTTTCCTTATACAATGAATAATAGCTAGGTAACATGAAAAGTTACCCCAAACTTGGTTCTGTTAGGACCAGGTTGGCTACTGCTTTTATGTATGAGATTATCAGAATATTTTCAAGAAGTCTGCACCTCAAATTCTCACTTTGAAGACTGTCAATTCTTGGCAAAAATAAACAAAACATACGGTCTCTTTTTCTCTCATTCTCTCTCTCTCTCTCTCTCTCTCTCTCTCTCCCCACGCACACCCCAAAACTAAACAAAAGTGAAAAGGCATAGAAGTGAATTTTCATTTATTTCAAAATAATTTCTAAAAAATCTGGCTTGAAGATTTTGCCTTAATAAGGCATATTTATCAAGGTAGAAAGACATGTTATATATTAACATTTTTAGCTTGTTCAATAATTCTTAAATATTTAGACATATGACAAGTTGGCCTCCATTTGTACTCTTCTATTGTGTTAGAATGGTTTAATTCTTTAATGACAGATAACTGAGTTATATTTAATGTAGATATAATTTGCAGGGAACTGATTTCAGAGAGAAATGTCATGCTACATTTGCATGCTGGAGTTTCATAAGTATTAATACGTGTTTCTATTTACAACAATGAATCCATTAATCCAACAAATATTTATTGAGTTGCAACTATGTCCGGGCACTCATACAGGAACTGCAGGCACAGCAGTGAACAAAAAAGACCAAAAGTCCTTACTTTGCAGGAGCTTATATGTTAATGGAGGAGGAAGATAATAAATGACAGATAGGTAAATATATTATGGGATCACTTAGTAATAAGTGCTATGGATAAAAATAAAGCAGGGAAAGGGGACTAAGTACTGGCAAGGGAGTATTGCTGGTTTATATGATAGCCATGGAAGACCTTCGTGAGATGTCATTTGAGCAGAAGCCTGAAGGAAACGAGGGAGAAACTTTGCAAATATCTGGGCAAAGAGCGTTCCAGGCAGAGACAGTGGTGAGTGCAAAGACCCTGTGATGAGAGTGGGTTAGGCATATTTAAGGAACAAGCTGCTGGAGGGAAATAGACAAGGGATGAGGTCCAAAAGGGGTCATGGACAAGACTCCATGGTCTTGGCAGGTGATTTTATAGACTTTGGCCTTTATTCTGAATGAGATAGGAAGCTACTGATATTTTGAGCAGAGTAGTGACATGATCTGACTCAGTTTTAAACAATATCTCTGGCTAATATTAGATGCATTAAAGAATGGGAAATCTATAGGCTGAAAAATCTGAATGCTGGAGCTGGGTGGGAATTCAATTAGGGAGGCATTAGAGCAAGGATCATCATTTTAGATGTTACTTAAAGATACGCAAATCTTCCTTAAAGGGCTAACATTTAAGTATTAAAGTGTCAGTGAGCCATGCCTCCTTGAATTATTTCATATGACACTAACATCCTTACAAAAATAATATTTTCCAGGAAAAGAGAAGATACTGGGTTAAAAGGTTTGAAATAAAGATTTTTTTGATGTCCTAAAACTCACTAATAATATACCAAGTCAAATAAATTATCATATTTTCTTTGATTTTTCTGATGGAAGAACAAGCTGTGTATACTCTTTTTAGAGACTAGGTAAGTTCCATCAGGGAAGCCAAAAAATGTTAATGGACACTTTAAAATTGATTTTTATAAGATCATTTTCATGAAATAAGAACATATTGAAGTGCAAAATTAAATGCCTGTTTGAGGCACCGGTTCATCTTCTGTGGCTTTTACGATGTCAGTGTCACAATATAAAAAAAAAAAGGAGATTCAAGTTAAGTCAGTAAAGAGTGAATTGTTGGAAGCTGTAAATGCAACCCTTGCTTACTTCATGGGTGAGACTGAAACAATATGAAAGACTTCCAACAAAATCAGAATTGCTTTTTCCTGTTCAACCTCACCCTTATCCTTTCTTTTTAATTTTGAGAATAAATACTACTAGTATTTGGTGCTGAAATATTCATTTACCATATGTCAAAAAAGCCTAGTCTCTTGAACAGGTTTCAGTTTCTCTAGTGTAATCCTAGAGACTGTGGCTTATTGATTCTGTATGTTACTGTCCATTATGTTTAGCTATTATGATAATGTTTAAGATATTAATGTGCTAATTAAATGGAAGTTCTAATTACTTACTCTTGCATGGTAGATGCTGACCAATCATTCTTCTTGCTTTGAAACTATAGATGCTTTTAGATATATACTCATTCACATCTTTAGTGGCATATTATTTTGTTACTTATTGTGTATCCATGAGCCAGCAAATTAATTTTCATTGCATTTCTACTGTCCAGCATCATGCTGGGTGGTTAGGATCAGAGGTCCTTGCTTATAAAGTTATTGCATAACCTGGGAGAGCTATTTTTCTGATAGGATTTAAGGTTTTTCTCCTTACTATTTATAATTTAGAAACTCTGTTGAAGAATCAAATTGAATTGACATTAATGAGAGCCTACTTTTTCTCAGAGCAATGCTAGGTGCAGAAGAGTTATAAAGACATGATTCCTAATGTTATGGAGGTTACCATGGCTGGAGAGCTCCATAGCACAAACATACTAGAGTCTCAGAGTGGGTGGCCAGACTCTGAATACTGCAGGAGCACAGAAAGGGTGGCACCATTATGGACTTGGTTTGATAAGGAGTGATGAGGACATGATTCTGGAACTATGGCTTGAGGTATGAGAAGTCTGTGGAATGCAAGAAGTGTATTTCAGAGATTCAATCTGTTGAGAATAAAAAAAATATGGCCACACTTGGATGTAGTAAAAATAGATGAGGTTATATAAGTGCTGTAATGAGTAATAAGTGGCTTGGTATTATTCCTACCACCTTCCAACCTCCCAGCCTAGGGGTGAACTGACTGCTGAATGATATTTTTCACTTTTGGTACCAA